GTTTGTGCTTCCGAGTGAAGTGGTGTAGTTCACTTTTGAACACCAGGGGGCAGATACTGCACCTGACTGCACATCAGTATGTTCCTACTGTGAACCAGAGTTTTCAAAACAAGCTAATATCAAAGCTATCTATGTCACCTAATATCACACAGCACGTATGATAATCAGGATACTGTGAGGAATCTGGTTAAAGACGCTTTGTGTAGAATCAGGAAAACAGTGACTCTGGTGGTACTTTCAAAAGAGACACATGTGGCAGACAGCAATCTGGCCTTTTTCCTGGTAATTATCAGTTGTTAAATTCTGACATGTATTGATTGGTTGTTTGTTTTAGCTTCAAATTCTGAAGTCCAATGATTCATTGCTGATTATATGGATTGCACACACTCGGGCAAAGACACACAAAGATGAGATAAGAAGACAATCCGAACTTCGCTCTTGTAGTTTTGTGTTTGTTGCGGGAGGGTATTTACAAAACCCAAACATACGGTGTGTGTTTGACCCAGAGGGACTGACATGATGCAGAGAGCGGTGAGTGCTGTGTCTCTGCTGGTCTTGGGGTCGGCCTGGCTCGTGCACACGGCCCCTGTCCTTATAGAACCTTTCATCCTCACACAGGAGAACTTTGATCTGGCCCAGGTGAGTTGGTTGAAATACAGATTTTATTGTTTTATTCATAAATGGAAACAATTCTTTTGCCCTATTTTTCCCCTTTCTCCCATGCATATTTTTGTCTTGTTCAATGCTTTGCTGAAGAGTAAATATGTCTGTGTCCCCTGCAGTTCATGGGGAAGTGGTATGAGGTAGCAGTGGTTTCTACTTGTCCTCACTACATGCAGCGTAAGAGGGGAAACCCCGTCATTGTTGCACTGGAACTGCAACATGTGGCCTCTGATGGCAACTTCACAATGACTGCCACTAGTTTCAGGTCAGATTTACATGCTTTCTAGTAGTTTAAGATGCTATACCATGCAGTGTAACCTGTGCCGTGTTTGCATGCATGTAGGAATGGCTCATGTAAACTGACGTCTACAGATTATGGTTTGACCAACACTCCGGGACGATTCTTCCACCATGTTGCAAGTATGTTTCTCAGACTTTCTTCCTCTCCCCATCCTTTTTTTTTTTTTTTAAATGTTATGTTCTGTTCATTTCTTTTACACCACATTAACAAGGTAATGCTCAACTAAATCTGGCAAGCAAAGCATTGTGAACACTTTCCTTTCTGCAGGGTTCAGGGCAGATGTTGATTCCTTCGTGGTTCATTCCAACTATCATGAGTACGCAATGATTCTTCTGCTGAGCACAGAGAAACCATCAGGAAATAAAACCACCGCATTCAAACTTTATAGTGAGTGACAATTGCATCTATCGATATGTTAATTTGTTGTACTTTTTATATGGAAGTGATTTTTATTCACTATATGGATCAGTCTATGTAATGGTAATTCTGTCTTCTTCAGGTCGAACTATGAGTGTGAGGGCTACTGTGCTGGATGACTTCAAAACGCTGGTCAGGCAACATGGTGTGAGTGATGACGCTATCATCATGAATCAGAACAAAGGTGACACACTACTGATGGTACCAGGTCTAACTAAAACTCTCCCCAAAGTCTGAAACATGAATTACAGTTACTACTGTCGGACTTTTTTGACACCCAAAGACAAATGTTGTCTACATATAAAACAGAAACCCGTCTCTTCCCAGGTGTGTGTGTGTTCCAGGTGAGCGGGTGACACAGCCCTTCACTGCTCAGCCTCAGGTACGTGCGTCACACAGTGATGTGCTGAAATGACATTTGCATACTGTAACTACAGATCTGTATTTGTATGAATCAGTCACAGGTTGTGGGGACCATGTATTTGCATCATCCAGATTTTTGTTCCCAAGAGGTGGAAAAGAAATACGGTGCTACCTGTGGTTCCTGCACAAGAGGAGTACGTTGGTAATGTTTGACCAGGCGAGGCCAAGCGACTCACTGTTTAAAGGTGCATAATATGAAATTGGGAGCATTTTGATTGCCTCTCAACATGGTGACGCCTGAGCTGGCTACTCATAGCTAGCTGCTCACAGCGCTGACAGTAAAACCTACGACAAACGTGCCGACAGAGCTAGCTATATCTTTTGGCATAAATAGTTGTTTTCTGCTGTATTACTGCTTTGAATCCTGTTCATGCACCTTTTAACGGTTACTTAAACACTGATACATGTTTAATTCTACTATTTCCACACATCAGTCCATGGGAAGAGAATTGTGAATTATCAAGGGTCTTTTTTCTGCATTTTTTTTGTCTTCATTTGTCGAATAGAGAGATGACAGGAAATGAGGGGAGAGTCATGTTGGAAAAAAAAAAACTACAGCAGGCATTTTCATCAAGACTTCTAAATATCAGATCCTAACACACGCTCTGAAGCATGCAACTGTGATGAAAAACAACCATGACACATATTGTATTTCTGTACAGTTTTAGCATAATAATAAATGCTTGTTTACCGTTACAGGGTGACAGATCATGTGGATTGACGGAAGAGGAGGATCATCATCACACAAGCCGCTGTCATGACATTTTCCTCAATGGATACAAAGACACTTGTCAGTGCGGGCTTCATATAGGATACAGCTGTATAAACACCATATACTACTATATCACCATTGTATTTTATTGGCATGTAGATATGTTTGGTGCGCAAAATTTGTAATGTAGGTGCTTTGGAAATAAAGTGAAACCCATACTGTATATCTTGTACGGCAATGTTTTAAAATACTGATGACATATTTGTCTAAACCTCTCATTTTTAAAAACATTAAAGAAACTAAAGAGTGTAAAAAGCCAAGGAATCTTATTAGTGCTCTATTGATTATTAGGAACCAGTAAGAACTTATGTCACCATGATAAAAAAGAAATTGGGTGGTAGCCATATGTATTCTCTCTCTCGTCTTTGATTGTTTGTTTTACTGATGCATGGAGGGAACTCTGCTGTGGGTCCTTCTAATGCAAAATGAACAAGTTCTCTTTGGATGAAAGCAATAGCCGAGGCCTGGTAAAAGAATGCAATGCTGACTACATACATTTGTGTGAAAAAGTGTTTGCCCCCTTCCTGATTTCTT